GGGGGGTCACATGAATCTCAGGCCTTACACTGACACTGCCAGAGAAGGAGCAGATAAACCCAGCTTCAAACCGCATAGTAGGATTTACTATAGTGTACATCTGCGTACCGGGCGTGGCCAAACGTGCTATAAAATACCCTTTGGGCAGAGGAAGTTGAAGAAAGTTCTGAGAATTTCAGCAGCAGGAGAAGAAAACATCTTCCTCATAAATTGGTAATGTGGCTTTAAAGCTGACAGCCATGTAAAGAGTGTTTTCAGTAGAATTTTCTCGTTTCTAAGAACGAATTTGTAAGATCAGTCTGTAGAGGGTGAATTCTGCTTGGAGAATACTTGGTTCCTGTTGATCACCTACCGTATCATTTGCTGGATTCCCCACACGCAGCGTCGTGCTAGGCCAGTTCGAGTTTTGTATGTCGGAGCGAATAACGACACATCACAGTTGTTTCAATGGAGCGCCGTGCTCGTGCGACAACTTCTCCGACACTGCTGCCAGGCTGTCAGTCTCCCTTGCATCGCCAGGCGTCTTCCTTTTCACGACTTCAAGCAGTTGTCTCTTTGTTTAAACTTCACTGGTCAAACTATGTTGCGTTGGATAATAGGGTGGTTAATGAATTCGGAAGGTCGTGGCCTATTTTAATGCATAATTTGTTTTCTTCACCACGTGTTTTTGGTTAATCAAATCAAGGAGCTTGTGATGGGTAGGGATTTGAGAAATGCGTACAGAATTTTGGTCAGTAAACATGAAGGAATAGAGGCCATTTGGAAGATGTAAGGGCGCATATGAGGATAATATTAAAATGAGATAAAATACTTACTGTGTGAGGGTATGTAGCGGATTGATCTGGGTCAGGATATGAACCAATATACGGCTGTTTTGAACACGGTGATGAACTTTCGGATTCTATAAAAGTAGAGAGATTCCTTGACTGGTTCCTGCAATTATAATTTCCATTCCCTTCAAACTTTTACACACAGTTAAGAAAGCCTTTATAATGTGCGTCTGTAGTACGGTTTTTGCGTACTGAATAATTCATAAAGCTTGTTCGTTGGGCGGGTTGCAGGTTTCTTGCTCTTTTGTTGTGTGCTCCTTCACAGGGTTCATTAATATGGCTGAATGTAAGTGATTAATAACACGAACGCACTGTGCATTCCAGGTCGTGCCTCCAGACAGATGATACACAGCATTCAAAGCAAATTTAGCTTAAGCGAAAAACTAAATGTCAGTCCTTTTTCTATGTAAGTTCTTTATCAAATGTACCGTAGTGCATTTGCTAATTCAACACAGGTTTCAACTCGAGTATTTTTTTTTTTTTTTTTTTTACTTTCTTTAACACTTCCAAGGCATGTAGACATTGTGACAGCTGATGACGAGACGCTCTCATTGGTTTGGCAGGCGCTTCCATAGGGCACAGAACAGTTACCGACAACAGAAGTTGCTTCTTTAAAGGAGCCTCTATGCTCTGGATAGACTGACTTATCCCAACTTCCTGTTCTTCGTTCCACATGAATTCATTTCCGTTCCAGTGACCGTTTTACACTGGTGCAACCCAAATAATCTCTAAGCGAATTCTCGGAGCTTCGAACTTTACACACACTTTCACTTCCGTCTGTCAAGCTTTTGTGGAAATTCACTGCGTTCTCCTTTTTTACATAATGATGTTGTCAAAGGTACCCGTTCTGCGTTCGCGGTTTCCTTACATTAGGATGCAGGCTACTTAAATAATGAACTTCCTCATTACAGTACTTTTATTTTCCGTCGTTACACAAGCTTATTGTTAAAATCATATAAAATTTCACATAAAATTGTTACATTTTAAAATTGACGACATGTTTCGATATACAATTCTATCATCGTCAGGTCTATCAAAATTAAAATTAAAATCTGGTGTATCTGTTGCTCTGCTTATATTGCTTATGTTTTATCCGTTTTTATTACATCTCCAGGCTTCTTTCATTTAATTTTGGAGACGCGCCTGGGTGCCTATATCTGCAAAATCAATTTTAATTTTCATATCGTGATTCTGGCTACCGACATAGGAAATGGAATAATATTACTCTAATTTTATATTATTTTAAGGAATTACTCAAATATATCGTAATACAAGCATGATGCAATTAAGATATAAGCTATAGAACTTCCTCATACTAACGGTCCTGTGAGTACGTATTTCCGTTGACCAATCATCTTTTATCTGCCGCCGTAGCGCCTTGATGATGGAGGTAGTGAGCATCTCTGAAACGTCGGCAAACTTCTACCAGACTACACTGTGAAACGTCACAGAAGACAGCCAACTTTACTCCTGCTTCTGATCTGGAAATGTAATCCTTATGATTTGCTTTTGTAATTGTTTGTTCTATAATTTATTATACTCGTAGTTTGAGGCTCTTTTATCTTTAGGTGAAGCAGGTACATAAGCGCGCATCGCAGTTTTTCCCCAGGTTTGGTTTGTAGTTGCTTAAGGCTGTTCCAGGATGAATGCCGTCTCGTCATGTCAGCTGACGAAGACGAAAACGTCGACAGGCTTCAGTGTTGTTTGATGCGCTGTAAGTGTTGCTGACTGTGGTTCGCAGACAGACGGCTGCACTAAACCGGAGGATAACAGCCACAGAACGCTGGAGCAAGACATCGCAGATATCGACCTGAAAGATCCGGAGCTCCGGAAGGCGGCGTCCAAGATTCAAGCGACGTTCAGAAAGCGCACCGCTGCTACCCCTCAAAAAGCGGCGACGACTCCTAAACCGGAAGTAGCAGTCGAGAGCCTCACGCAGAAGGAATAAAGCGGTTCTCTACTTCCGGTGCTTGCTGTGAATTTTACAAAACTAACCCTAGAATTTTCCTTGTTGTAGTTTCAAGCACTGAAGGACCTGCAAAGAAAACGCGTTCCTGTCTGTGTGGTCCACCTAAACATTGCCATTTGCTTGTCTGTAGTTGTTTGTAGTCCCTCAGAGGTGGCAGAAG